ATTTGCCTGTCCTTAGTGTCCTTAGTTACGCAGTTTTCCAAGTGTTTAGGTATTACTGATAATTCTCCTTCTCCAGAGAAACACAGAGGGCAGTTGAATTTCTTGGAAGCAACACACCTTGTTTTTCCATCCTCCTACTCTGGAGTTATTTGAATGAGAGCCTAATTCACTGAAGCCCTGCAATAAGTTTTCACAGCTGCCTAGCTGGTTTACTCAAATGGACCTGATGGCAAAGGGCTCATCTGAAATGTTCATGATGGCTGAAAGAGCAAGAACTATTTTTTTATTTTCATTATAGTAATCTTCCTATTCTGGGCAACTCTTGAAACCAAAGTTTTTTGCTTTCTCGATTGAAGTTCCTCTGTGAATATGGGTCAATTTGAGGAAAAGTGGTATAATCTTCAAAAATGCTGAGCAGTCATTTCACCTGAACAGTTTTCACAAACTTTCTTTGGAATTTTTGAAGCCCAGATGCTCTTTGTAAAAAGAGCTTTTTGACATCAGTTGCCAGTGGTTTAGGAGTTGATTCTAAGCATCCCTTTGTGAAACTCTGTCGGTTTTCAATGATGCAGGCAAAAGACAAATATTTTCTATCAACATAAGCTGCCCAGACTATTTTGGAGTGATTTTTTTATCAATGACAGATATCATATATATGTATATGTAGTTAGGAGGTGAAAGAATTCTTTACCTCTGGGGTTGTTTTGTTTTCTTGATCAGCCAATGGTTTTAAAGGGCTGTGTGTTTTCTGTTTTACCCCCTCATATACCCAGACAGGATGGTGGCAGAGGGGCAGTATGTTACCTGTGCTGGAGATGGAGCCTCCAGCTGGTGCAGATTCCAGCAGGTTCTGTGAGTGTGGTGACTGCAGAGCCGAGGCTTTGGGCTTGAGGGGAATGAGTTTGGGACCTGTGGCAGCAGCTCTGCACTGGCTGCCTTAAAAAATATCCCTGTGTCCTTTTGCACTGGGAAATCAAAGGCAATTAATGACTTGGTGGAATGATTTTGAAGCACGTGCTTGCAAACTTAATTGTGGCATTTTCTGATGGTGGACAGCTTGGCTTTCCAATTCAAAGATGGTCTTATTCCATCTTTTTGGATGAAAATATTCTTTTTGCCTAGAGAGTATTATGGCTTCTACATAGAACCATACTAATATAAATACTACGATTCCTACTAAGCCATAGTGATCTCAACCCCTAGTTCCTCTAGCTGGCCAGGAAAAGACAGAAGATATGATGCATTTTCCTTTTAATATTGTATTCATGTGAAACATTTGAGAAGAAAGTCATTATTATAAAACTTAAGAAACATCAACTGGTGTTTCCATTTGTTTGACTGGTGTAGTGTTCACACCTTCTCCTGCACTAGGCAAAGATATGAAGGGTTATATCGTAACGTATTTATTCCTAAATATGTGTTGACACTAAAAAATTGTAGATAACCTCAATCACCAATTAGTCTTACTTGATTTACTTGTTTCTAAACTAAGCAAACCCTCAAAACTAAATAAATTCTACTTCTCTGTGAATTGTCATTTGCTCACAAATCAACACGCATATTTCACTTGCAAAGTCCCTGTTTGCACTATATAGAGACGCTATCTAGAAATTAAATCACTAGAAAGATCAATCTTTCTGCCCAGGGGCAGAATATCTATCCAGAGGGAAGCTTAGGTGACCCTGTATTTGCAAAGAATCCCTTTGGTTGTGCTGGAGGAAGCAACAGGGCTAGGGTATTGCTGCAGCTGATTCAGACACAGAAAAACAGAAGAAAAACAGAGAAAAACATCAAAAGAAAGCATCCTGAGGGACTGCTTGGAAATGTTCCCATATTTCTTGCCTTCTGCTTCTCTCTCAAGGCCTACATAGAGATTTTGGTTGCTGGTCTTACTCTCTGTTCATCAAGTGGATAGAGCAGGATGCTCCCAAGAATAATATGGGGGGGAAATCCAAATGTTCATATGGAATATTCTACATAGATTATTTTAAAAGCTGTCATTTATACCTCTGGAAATAAGCTAAAGCCTTGTTGGTTTGGGGTTTTTCTTGTTTGTTCTTTGGTTTTTTGTGGGTTTTTTTTGCTTTGGTTTTGTTTTGGGTTTTTTTTTGGTTTGTTTTTTAAGTTTTTTTTTATAGTTCAGTGTTTTGTTTTGGGTTTTGTTTTAGTTTTTAATTTTTTATTTGATTCTTTCCTATTTTTTCTTTTTACCAGATTTTATTTATTTGCCTATTTCTATCTCCCCAGTGTCATTCTGTGCTCTGACAAGAGATCTTAGGTAATTCTAGAAAAATAAGCACAATTATGAAGTGTTTTACAGGCTTTTTTATTCTGTTTTTTTTAAAGAAGTTTTCTGTTACTAACCTCAGAGAGCTGTCTGTGAATGAGCTGTTAAGTTTCCAATGGCTTTGAACTTCTTTCCTAATGCCAGGGAGCTATGCTTTAAAGGAAAATTGTTTCTATTCGGGTATTTTCTGCAATCAGAACATTCTAAGGGTAAGCAGGACTTGTTATCCTGTGTAAATTGTGAAATGTATCAATTTAGGTAAGTTTTATTTGAAATTGTTTTTTTGAGTCAATACCATACCCATTTCTGAAGGTAGTGGTACTGCTGAGGACTGTTCTTGTCATCAAGTGGTTCAGTGGATGTGAAACACCAGGGCTACTTCCAGTCTGAGTAAAGGCTGAGTAAAGACCAGAAATGGAAAGGATATTTATTGATAAGTATCTGCTGCTTCTTTTCTCTGAATGATTCATTTTAAAGTCGCCATAAGAGCAAGACTATGCTAATATGTAAATATTTTTATAATCAGTAACTCATCTGGAGAAGCTGGAATGATGTCAGGGATGAGGAGGAAATTCTGGGAAGAAAATGTTTTCTGCAATGTCTTGAATTATATCCATCCCACAGGCTGACAGCTGCAAGCACCAGGCAGAATGTCCTCAACAGAAAGGATATTTAACAGGTTGCTTTGGGGCTAACATTAGTAAGTGAATTATCATTTTACCTTCATACAGCAGTATTAAGGGCTCCCAAATGGTAATTTAATATAGCTGAAGGTCTTTAGAAGGTTTTAATAGCTTCTTAAGTATCTAGAAACTGATATATCCATCCCTTGGACATACAAAGAGCTGCTATGAGCTATGAAGGGGGTCTTCAGTTGTTCTGTATTCACTTTGGCCTGCTGATGGAAGGATTTTTCCCAAGACCTGAAATAACCCTGAAATGTAGCAGGTTAGTTTGCAGCAGGTCAACAGACAACTGATGCCCAGGATGTAGACATTTGGAGCCTATTTTGATAACATTGCTGTAGTAAAAGCACTAGTTTGAGCATTAATTTCTAGGTGTTTTTAAAATGCTAGAAAAACTTGTGTCTTTCTCACAGAAGAAGAGAGAAGGGTGGTGTCAGGCACTCAAAGAAAGGGAGGAACACGGTTTTTGGAGGTGTTGTATTTGTGGTTCCTTACCCAGCAGATCACTCACTGTCAGGCACTTACTGAAAAGAAGACTTGATTTAAACAGCAGTTTTTGTGAAACACTGAGCTGGGGACATTTTTCTCCATCTGAAAAAGCAGATGCTCTGATCATCACCAGTGCTGAGTGCTTCTGCTTTCTTTTGAAGGCAAGGTAGTAAAATTGTCACCCTTCACCTCACAGCTGGGTTTCCTTTATCAGAATCCATCTCTACAGTCTAAAGGAGATGCTCACAATACTTTCCTTCTGTTGAAACAATCAGGCAAAAGTTTCAAGAAGCAGCATTGATCTTGCTTTTGCAAGGTTTGATGCCAAACCTTAGACGTACCGATCCACATTTAAATCTGCAAGGCTTTCATCCACATCAGTGGATCATCATCACAATTACCATTAGTGGATCACATCAGAATTACCACCAGTGGAGCTTTTCCTTGTTAGCAGTTTGAAGCTGAATTACAGCAAGCCCTGCATCTACCAACAGTGGAGGATTCTGCCTAACTTCACGCTCACTCAAGAATAAAATCAGTGTCACATTTTGAAGCAGAAATCCTTTTGCAATTGCGGTTTTGGTATCAATTAGTCCTTCTTTTAGTCTTTCTCACATCAGAAGGATTTGGTTTCCCCAGATTTTGTGTTGTGCTTTGCACTCTCCTGGACTCTGAATTCGCCTTGCTTGATACAGCACCAGCACCCACAGTTTGTACCAGTGCCCATGGTAGGAACCTGGATGTAGAAGTGAATAGAACTGTGGTAGACGTGGTCTGGCTGCTACCAAAACAGACTGCCAAAGTGTCCAAGACCTGTCTGGTTGACCTACTTTCTGTCTGTTTCCCCTCTCCCCTGTCCACCTGGGTACTTCAGAGACACCAGAAGAGAAATGGGTCCTCTTAATATCAACAAGACTTTGACTCCTGTATGACATTGAGGAAAGTTAAGCTTTCCTGAATTGAGAAATCTTCCTGCCTTCTCAGGTCATGGGAACAAAATGGTGGTTCTTTGCTTCCCAAGAGCATTCTTAGCAATTTCTGAAGTTAAAGATTTTTCACTTGCAAATGATGGCACGCATGACCAGTTGGGTATAGCACAGTCATGTGTGCTGGTATTTAAAAGGTGAGAAGATTTTGAGGTTTATGATTCTCTCTATCTCAAATACACTTGTTTGCATAAACCTTGTTTTTATTATATTACTGTGGACACACAGCTGGCTGTTAGCTCATATAAGAGAGAGAAAAACCACAGTCATCTTAATGCTGGGAGATTTGTCAGTATTAGAAGAAGCAGATGGCTTGGAAGAGAAAAGCTTAGAAGGGGGAAAATTTGAGTATTCTAGTTAGTAGTTAGTTCCAAAAGTGAAAAGATTCATTGTGCGTTTTGAGCTTAAACTTTTACTTTTCTATGACTTATAAAACATCAGCTGGTTTCAGTCCAGTATCAGAGTGCTTACACAATAAGACAGTCTTAATTAGTCATTTCAGTTTAAATTGGCTGGAGTTTTGATGTTAATTGAATTGTTTTCCCTTTGCAGGGACCTCAGGGGCCTCCAGGACAAAAGGTATAGTATAAACAACAGTGCTGTGAAAGTGATTATTCCTCCTGTGCCAAGTTGCAAGCAGAAAAGGTGAATGGAATAAGCTACTGTACGCTGCATTGAATCAATTAGCTTAGGTTCTGAATTTAGTTTTTGCAAAATGGAGCCATATAATGTGAGACACAAGATTTCTCATTTCCCCCATCATAAGAAGTTCAAGCCATGCAGAGCAGACTGTTTTCAATCTGTCTGCTTAACTTTCAGGTGAAAAGGTCACTATAATTTTCTCATTCATACACCGGTGCAATGAGGAAACCAAAGTTAAAACATTGTGAAAGGTGGGGAGATAAAGTTTCTGATTAAATGTATGTCTTTACCCGAGTAGATCAGTGCCATATGACTAAAGAATTGACCAGCAGAAACAAAGGATGTAGGTGTTGCTGATAAATAGTGCCTGGTTGGTGGTGTTCAGGTGGTCTGCCCGTGTCTTCCTGTTCCTTCGGTAACCTGAGACCCCACTTCCTGGGAATGCCTTCAGCATTATTTACACTCATTAAAGCTGGCTGCCTCAGTTTGATTGAGTGAGTTTAGGATTTATGGAATTACCCCGTTAAAACAGTCCTCAGAATATCAGCAGTAACAGCTAGTGAGTGGCACTTTCCTGGCATCTGACTCACATGCCACCAAGGTGAGTAATTTTCTAGCTGATTTCAAAAGATTGAAAAGTTGTATGTAAGATATTTAAGATATTTAATAAAACAGCTAGAATTTGTATAAAGGAAAAAAAAAAAAGAGGAAGGAATAAGTACTATTGACATATGTGAGAAGGATGCCTGCTTTTCTTCTTCTGAGAATAATGTTCTTTAGAGAGAAGCATCTGTTAAAATGAAACTTTTTAACAAAAGAAAGAAAAACCTGCGATACGTAAAACATAATCCCAAAGTATATGAATTGGTGGAATTTTGGCAGCTGTGGGCTGTATAGAGTGTGCAGGCTGAAGGAGAGGACTACCATTTGTGTTTGGCAATGCTGGAATGTGGCTCATGTCTAAGTTGCCATTACACAGCTGTACCCTGAGAATTGTGGAGGAGGATACTTAGTGTGTATGGCATCAGCAAAGCCCACGTGGTGATGAACTTCTGAAAATCTGGTAAACATTTACTTACCACAGTAGAATCAGCTTCATTTTACACTTTCTAACATCCTGTGTTTCGTAAGAAAAATAATCAGCTGCCACTGGGAGGAGGAACTATTATACATAAGATAGTTTATTGAGGCTGATGGTGTAATGCCCTCCTGAACTTTGCCTTCTAATTTTCTGGAAAACTGATACAGAGATGTGAAAATGTTCACTCAGGGCCTCTTGCAGTAGCTTAAAGCCATGACCACGTATCCAGCAAAAAGTTATGACAAGGATGCCAAAGAGGAAGCTTTGGGAGAAAGGGGAGCCATGGAGATATGCTGGGATGCCGTGTTTTATTTCTTACTGATTCAAAGCTATGTTACTAGCTCTTGGAGGGTTTTTGAGACCCTCATGAGTTGCTTTCTTTTCCTGTTTCACAGGATTTCCCAACTCTATTAACTGGCAAATGTGTGCATCCATTTTGGGTGCACTTCCTTTGGGTGTTGGTGGTAATTTTAGTGACACCTCTAACCAAAATAGAGGGGAGATTGCCGTGCATCAATTATTTCAGTTTCCTTGCTGAACTGCACCATCTTTATAAAATAAGAGGAGAATGCTGTACAAGCAGATGAAGCTTTCCTGCTTTCATCATGCTTTATGTTTTCACTGAACTTCCATAGCAAATTGCACAAGGTCCTTCGAAAAAATTATCCATCACATAGAAAATTACAGTATGAGAGCTTTGTACCAAAGATCCCTCCAATGTTATAAATCATGGTTAATTTTTTTCCCTTTGTCCCTTGTGTTTGCCCTGTATTGACCTTTTAATTTTGATTGCGCTAATATTGGTGCAGTTTAAAAGTGTATCTGTAATTTGTACTGTCAGACTGAATCATTGCAGATTATCTCTTAAAAGCCTTGAGATGGATTTGTGCTACAAGTTATTGAGCTTGAATAATCTCTCTAAAAGCATTAATAGTTTTGTTCAGATGCTATATTTGATTGCATGGGATCAGTCTCAAAACTTATTGAGAGCGTTGTATGGAATAGCATTTTAATTCTTATATTTCTTCTGAAGCATCCACAATATTACAAAACACGAGCTTGAAGCTTGTTTCTGGAAAAGGCCATACAGTCTTTAAAATGTACAGCATGAGAATATGTCTAATTATTATAAAATCTCAAATGAAAGGAGAGCTCAGCTTGGATAAAAATGAGTTCTTGAAAAATTTATTGCAGCTATAATAAGCAAACATTCAGCATTATTTCTAAATACTGTATTATGAGATGAAAGGTTTCATGACCTGTTTAATTTGCTAAACACTGGCATCTGTTTCCCTCCAGGGTTCTGTTGGAGTGCCTGGTGTTCCAGGGAGAGATGGACAAGTGGTGAGTTCTCTGACTTTTTCAGCACTGCCATTATTTATGTAGTGGATTAAAGCAATTTTGGGCTTGTTCACATGAGCAATATGCAACCTTATATCCAGAGCTGTGGTTTGAAATTGGCTTCATGGAAAAGACCGTATAATACGCTTTGTGCTCTGAAGTAAGTTTTTTCTAGTTTTACCTGAACAAGCAGCAAATGTAATTAATTAAGCTGAAAGTCTGGTATTCAGATTTGATGATGACTGATAGGTTGTAGAAAGAAATGCATATTAATAGTGTGTTGCTTGAGTCAGCATATTTACAAACAATGGGTTTTTTACTTTTTGTTAACTCAGTCCCATGATACAAACACTGACACTGATATTGGGTATTGATATGGTGCCAAAACATTGTTTGTACAACCCATACATAGAGAAATGAAAGGAGATGGAAGTGCAGCTGGAGGATCATTTGAAATTGAATTTTGGGGATGAAAACACAGAGGAAAAAAATCAAAGAAATATTTCTGAACACAGCCAAGAGAAAACACTAATTTAGGCAAGTCACTGTCATCTCTCAGTAAAGTCATGGTGCAGAACAGCCCTCCATAGGGAGAGGTCATAATAAAGCAGCAGGGCTGTGTTACAGCTTTGCTGAGGTTTCTTGGCAAATCTGGGTGATGAAGTTTAAATACTATACCTCCTTGAATGTAAAGAGTATTATCCATCTGTTGTTCTCACAAGCCCTAGCATTCCTGGTGAACTTCAAAAGCACTGGCAAGGGATGCCAAAAGGAAAATGTATGATATATATGTTCACCAGGTTCAAGCAGCAGCAGATGGTAGTGTATGAGGGTTGTATTAGACAATCCTCTCTTCTGCTTCCCTCACCAAGAGCCCTAGGAATAAGTGCTAAGATGTTTCGAATAATTTACTTTTCATTTAAAAAAAAAAAAAAAGAAAAATGTATTAGACCTGTGTTTTGAGAGTGGTTATAAGAAATAATGAAATAATAATTTATTTCACTTTAGTGATAGTGATAGAATTTATTTTTAAGCTATTCAGAGTATTATGACTAATGTGGAAAAACAAAATAAAAAATATTTAGAATTTTATATATATATATACATATATATAATACCAGAATTTATAAGAAAATAGTATGAAACAAATTTGCATTAAATCCTCAAATTTTTTTCCTCCATATTTTATAGCTGCATTCAATTGCAACAGGAATGGTAGACAGTGCTTACCAAGTGAGATGCTGTTGCTGCATTACTTGCTAATTCAAGTCATTTTTGTGGCCTGACAGAAATGCCAGTGCAAATTTACTTTGTAGCCCATCTGTAGGAATATGTAAGAAGACTGGATGGGTTGAAGCTGGAAACCACTTTGAATAGAGCAGAACTGATGATTCATATTTTATTCAAGAACATTATTTTTAATAGTAGTCATACAAACTCCAGCCAGGAAAATTCACTCAAATGAGCAGAAAAATTGATATTAACAAAATGTGTCAAATGTGTGATTAATGTGTCATTCTGGGAGACAGGGAATTTTTTTAAGCTCAATGGCAAGGTTGTTGCATGTCTATTTTTAGGAGATCACATAGACATATCTGCTGTCATTTTTCAGGGGGCATAAAAGAAATGTACAATTGAACGTTATGGGAAGATGCAAGCACACCTTTAAATGTTGATTATTAATTTTAAATTGTGCTTTAAAAAAAAACTCCAAAATTTTTAATTTATGAGTGTCTGTTTATTTGATTTACTTTAGCATTCATAAGATCTGTAACTTTGCAGACATTTTAAAATTATTACCACTTTATTAAAGATGTCAGTGTGCTTTTAGTGTAGCTGGACTGCGTTACTTTTGACCTTCAAGAAAAAAACTAAAGTGAAACATAGGTTCCAGAACAAAAAGCCACACAGATAAAAATAAATTGTTGCTGCATTCTTTAGTTTGATTTCCCAAATGTTGATCGGTATTGACTAGAAAGCACTTCCTTATTTGCAAAACACGTATTACTTTCATATAATACTGGGCAGATGCAAGTTGAATGTTGCTGTCTCTTCTAATAAATAGATTAAAAAAATCTGTTAATTGGAAATAGTGATAGAAATTAAGTTTAAACTGCAGTAGTGTTTGTCTAAAGTTAGAAAGTATAATGCAGCTTAGGAATCCCATGTTATTATTTTGCTATCAAAAGGTCAGTTCTTCCAATTTCTATGAAAAAACAGATTCTCAGTGCAGTCCAACACACAAGATGTTGAATGAGGACCAGAGTGGTGATTTTAAGAGTTGGGCTGTACTGTGAGCCAGCTGCTGGCACTTCTGGCTTTACTCATTCAGATTCATGGTGACTTGCAGAGCAGTTGGGTTCAACTTGCACGTGTGGTGCGAGTCATCCCCTTTTTGGGAGTTACGTAGTTCAAAGACTTTACAAAAGCCTTACTCTCTTGGTTGCCTTTTGGCCATTGAGCTCGCTCTCTTAGGCAGCAGCATGTGCAGTGCACAAAGTTCCAAGTTAATATTTTTCCTTAGTTTAAAAGGCAGTGAGTGTTAATAGCACATGCTTAAAATGAAGTGCATGAATGCTTTTCTCCTTTGGACAATGAAGTATTTTTCAGCCGATGAATGTCAGCAGTGAATTAGCTTTGCTCTGTCCTCAGGCAGTTAAACAAAACAGAGTTAGGTCATCTCCATCTTCTACGTGCCTCTGTAATTTTCCTTTTTCTTTCTTTTCACCTCTTCTTTAATTGAGGTACTGGGTTATGGGAGATGATTGACAAGTCTGACCAGTAGGTCTGGGAATGAGATCATAAATTCTGAGTGCACTGAGAACAGTTTTCTAATCCCTTAACATATGAACCACGTCTCGTAGACAATCTCTAGATATTAGAGTAAGTGTAATTTTACACAACCCACATGTTTTTGCAGGACTGTTAACTAGTAGATTTTTCTTGTACTCAGAGTAGCAAAATCACTGCCATAAAACCTTCACACATTAGGCCAAATCCAGTGAAACATTACAGGTAGTCTTGCAAGCACATTTATAATCTTCATTTGTTCCTACATTTGAGAAACGACAGCAAGTTTATCTTGAGAACAGTAACTGCTTAATAATACCTGCAGCTGGTGAGAGTGTTGTCTCTGGGATGGACCAAAAGCTGCAGACATGAGGAGTCTTTGAGTGCTCCTTTTTCCTTTGCAGACTGTTGTACAACCCACAGGTTCCTTTCTATCACAATACAATGGCAGATAAACTTCCCTTTCTCCATCCCTGGCAGAAGCTCCTCAGGCACTCGACAAGAAGAAAGAAGCATTAGTTTTGCATGGAGATAGGAGGTTGCAGTGATCTAAGGATATCATATCCCTACATTAATCATGTTGAAATGGCCACAAAGGGCTTCTTGGAAAGTTCAGCTCTGGAAGTACAGAATATATATTCTGGTATTTGTTAAGTGGTGCTGATTTGATAAGGGCTCTCAGTGACTGCAGCAGTGACACAAGGAGAAAAGCAGGGATGCCTTAAATTAAGATGTCATTTGGCCTGGAGGAACCCAGTTTCTGGAGTTTGTGCAAATACCTCTCTTTGTTTTAAGTAAGAGTTTGTCTGGAGTGCATAAATCCCTCACTCTAAACTTCCATAAATCACTTTTTCTTATGTAGTACTTGATATTTTGGTGGAGTTTTTTGTAATAGTGTATTGAAAACACAACGAGTGGTCAGGATAGATACCTTTGTTTCAAATTCTTCTGGTAGATTGGCAGTAGCAATTTGATAAACCTCAGAAGAATTTTCCTTATTGGTAGATTCAGAGTCTGGGTATGCACATGTCTTACTGTTTTCTTTGTGCTTCTTGTTTTTCTAATTTACATGTATTTCCTTATTGCTGTGTACTGAGCTGTGTAGGAACACATTTTGAAGGCAGCAGCATCCAGTTTCTTCAGCGAAATGGGGAAGGGTATGCATGTACTAACATTTTTTTCAAATAAAGGGAGAAAACATCATAAATGTAGTTCACAAATTCTCAGACAGGTTTGCAGGCCAGCTGAGTCTTGTTGAAGAGCCTTTCCACTTAATTTCAGTTGGTGAGTGGGCCAGGACACATTTCCAGTCCTTAAACAAACAATTTTAAGTTACTTTTGAGGGGCGCAAAAAGAAAGTTGAAAGGAAATTAATTCAACCCTAGTTTGAAATGGAAATCATAGTAACATATCTGAAAACCATTTCTTTACCCTCTGTCATCTATGTATTTTAGAGTAAAATTAGACTGGATTAGGTTTGGGGCCTCTTGTGTTTCCTTATCCTTAAATTGATTACATTCTAGTGACTGAAAAATATAGCAATACTGACAGCCTTTCTTTCAGGGTGAGGTGGATATCAACCAGCTGGTGCAGACAGAGTTATGCATCTCACCAAAACAAAACCTATTTCAGAACTGCAGCCTCCAGGCTGTTTTTCTGTTACAAACAAGAAAAGCTGGGGCCTCCAGCCATGTTATTTTTAGCTGATTAATTCTGGATAGGAAGGTATATGCCTCAAGGGCAGAAAGCACTCCAGTAAGTGCTTTCAACTGCCTCAACTCCTTTGATATGGACTCTAGTGGGTAATACATTTTCAGACCTGTTCTGAAGTAGATTCTATGAGTTCAAATTGACAGATTTTTTTTCTCATATTACCAGCAGAGCCCAAGCAATTCTCTATACACCTGAGTACTCACCAAATTCAGATTCACTTCAGTGTGAGCATTATGACTGCCCCTAACATGAGAGTATCTGAGGAAACTGCTACACCTATTTATTGACCAGAGTGCTGAAAGTTGTTCTTTGCTCAAACACAGGAAAGATAGTCTGTCAGTGTCAATCTAGTTATACAGTTAATACAGACTCAAGAGTGTCAGGACTTGAACCAAGGTGTTCTGCCATGTGTCCAAAGGAATATCCTTCTGCTTTTGTTTCAAATTATCTGAAACTCCTGAATTGAATGGCTGGGTTGGGTGTATTCTTGGCATGTTTGCATTTTGTTTGCCTTGATAGTTGATACCATTTGGAATAAAAAGCCAATCACTTTTGAGACTCAGAGCATTTTGTTGAAGTCATTTCTAGAAAGAAATCATCAGAAGGTTTTGAATAACTAAGGTTGATCACCTTTGTAACTCATTCAGTCATGCCTCAACATTGCAGTTTGCTGGTTGGAAGAGTCTTCTTTCCAATTCACTGCAGCAGTGACAGTAACTTTGTTAGAGTGCTGCTGTTTCTGAGGAGCCAAAGTGCTTATCCTCCTCCTATCAGGGCATCTCAGGTTAACACGTGGAACTGTCAGTGGCAGCTCCCCATCTTCAGGTTTGCTCCTGCAATCCTTTTTGTTATTGACAGTAAACAATCATTACAACATATCTCTTGGAAAGTGAACTGTCAATATTCCACTGACAGAATTTCTCTATAGCGTGTAAACAACAGCAAAACAAGCCCACTGTGTCTGCAGCATACTTCTGTCTAAGTAGTCATTAAATGAATTACTGGAACATTTACAGGCCTGCTGAGTTAGGCTGATTGATTTTGGTAAGTGAGTGAAAAATAGAACGTTTGCTGGAAATTTTTATTTCCACCATTCTGAGACCATTTGTGAAGTCAGAAAACTGAAAGAAATTGGGTTCTGGTGGTGAATCACTGGAGACTTCAGTGTCTGTAAGGGTTCTAGTGGCAGAGTGTTTTTTTGCAGCAGACTGGAAGCTAGAGAATTACCTTCTAGTTTTTGCAGGAAATTTGGGAAAGGGAAGTTTTTCTGTCATTTTCCAATAGTTTATCATCTATTTGTGTAGCGGGTCATGTCATGAAAACAGAATTCTTATTTTGGGTTGGTCAAGTTACACAAAGGCAAGATAAAAATAACTTCATATGAGAAAGAAGACAAGAGTTTCCTAAACAGTATTTCTAATGCAATATTTGCATGTTTAGAGGTGTGGGGTGTGACGTTTGTGCATCTGGTGGTTTCACTGCTGCTTTGGTACAGCAGAACCTCGGTGGACAGGATGTTCAGATAAGGTGGTGCTGGTACCACAGCATCCTGCAGGGCTCTTGCTCTTTCCATCACAGTTAAGCCACGCGTTGCTGAGGTGGTGTTTGGAAATCACAGCCCATCTCAGTGCCAGGAGGGAGAATTTTGTCTTTATTTTGGTGTATCGTGGTAGTTCCACACAATGTTTATTGCACAGGACAGCTTCTGCAGTGTGGTTTAGCTGAGAATAAGAATGCAGAAGGGCAGAAAGGGCAAGTAACAACTCCTTTAAATTGAGTACCAAGACGCTTCACACCTCACTACAGCATCTTCCCTTCTGTCCATCCCTTTTAGGGAAAAGTTCCAAGGGGATGCTCTGAGAGTACCTTCACACAATTTCTCTGGGTCTCACATATTTTTCTTCTGTAAGGGTGCAGTTTAGCCCTCATTAATTCTCTAACTGGGATCATGGGCTGTGTTCTGTAGACACCAGAAAGTTTTAGAACAATTGCCATCACTCTGTTACTGAGTGATAATTTCTCAGGAGTTCATGACTGGAGAAAGGTGAGCTATGAGCTAAAGTTAGATGTATTATAGAAAAAAATTACTCTTTAAATGAGAAAAAAAACCACTGTTAGGACCACTCTTGAATGACTGTGTTCAGTTGTGGGCTCCTCACTACAAGAAAGACATGGATGTACTGGGAATCCAAGTAAGGACCTCAAAGATGATCTCCAGAGGTGCCTTCTAAGTTCAGGCATTCTGTGATTCTGTGAAAGGAAAAATAAATAGAAGTATGTTGCCTTGACTTGAAAGCTAGCTGATGTACAGAAGACAATTGTTTCTGTTGCCTAACACCTTTGCTGTCAATGCTATTAAAGAGAGACTACAACAGCAGTCAGGAAAGACATTAGCCATGGCCTGGTGAATGTAATAAACATGTGATACTGAGGATTTAATTTTATAGCTTCTTTCATTTTATCAGGTTGAAAAGCAGTCTGATTTAAATTGTTGTGGCAAATGACTGTTGAATGTCTGGTGTTCCTTTGCATGCATCGCTCCTTGAATAGCAGTGTCATTGTCTTCAGCCTCTTAAAGGTCAGCTCTGCTTTTTGTTCATCTCCAAAACCCAAACCTGTGGGGCTGAATTGTATTTATACAGCATTTTACATTCCAGTTTTCCTCTTACAGTGTTTTGCGCTCTGGTTTTAATGCATGCTTTTAGTAATAAATAGATAAATAAATAAAAGTAACTAAATGAAAAAAAAAAATAACTAACTACACTTCCTAACAGAAATATTTTAAATTCTTTTCGTGCCAAGAATCAAAATCATTTTTTTTTGTACCAACCTGGCTAAAATGACACAGTATTTGAGTAGGGAAGAGCTGTCAATCTACTCATCTTCAAAAGTTAACAGCTCTCTGCTTCATAACTAGTTTGATGGGAGCATTTTTATTCTTGTTTTGTGGTTTGATTTTCTTGTTTATTTGGGGGGTTTATGTTAAGGCTTACTGGAACTGTAAAAATATCAAATGCACAAAGCTTGTTTAGCTGTGCAGTGGGATTGTTCGTCAGGGCTAGGACATAGAGCAGCTTCTGGGCTGTACATTTTCACTTCACCTTGTTATTCCCTGATTCCTTGTACAGACAAGAAAATAGAGGTCTAACACAGGGAAAGGAATCTTTTTTCCTTTTCTTCTGACCATTAAGAGACAGAATGATAATCACTTCAAAAATGGAAAGGCACAAGGTCATTTCTGTGTTATTCTTCTAGGTTTGCCTTCAATCATTCCCATTCCCAGAGCTTATCTCTGCACTTCAAATATCTCTGCCTAGTATTTTCAGTACTGTAAGTGTAGTGCTGACCATAGCAAAGTTGCATATAGGTCAGAAATGCAATTGCTGGTATGAATGGGGATTTGCTATGACTAGGTGACAGGCTGAGGTTTTTGCTTTTTTCTGAAGAAAATAATTTTTTTGTTCTATTTTTGCAGTCTCCTTCTTGTCACAGCAGTAGCCCTCTGCATCCATGGCACTGATATGTTAACGTGGGAGGAAAGTACAACCTCAGAACTTCAACCTTTTGATTAGATATTTAAGCCCCTGAAGGCATCAGCCGACAGCAGCTGTTTGAAAATGAAGGGGACAGAAACTAGCGTGTTTGGGGTGTGGGGATGAGGAGAAACAAGCGTATATTCATGGGTCCCTTCTGCTTCATTTTGTCAACTGGCAATTTTCTTCAAGAGCCTTTTAGGTCAATCCTTTAGGACACTCACACCTAATCTCCAACAGTTTCAGATGCTGACCACTCACATATGGAATGCCTGTGCCGCTTTATCAGCCTCACGGCTACTGGAGTACAAAGGGGTCTAGAGACAGGGCTGACACAAGTGATTCTTTAATTCCCTGGGGGCTTAATGGCACCTAACAGCTTCTGCTCTGGCTTGGAAAATGCCTCACTAGAGTTTTGCTAGAACTTTGATGATTCTGGTTTGTTTTTTTGAAACAGTCCAGCTCTTGATGAAATTAAAATGTAATTAATGATTCTGTTACCTTATTTAGAAATACAATGGAACTTGCTTTCCCAGACAATAAGATTTAATACATCTATGATTAAATCTGCCTTAAAGTAAGAAAGAGATAAGTTCTTAATAAGAGGCTTTTATGGAGGACTAGAAAATACATCTTGTTAGGTTTGGAAAAGCCTTTATCTTAGTGCCTCTGTAACTTTTGAGTAGAGGATTGGTTCATCACATGTACTAAATTTGAATACTGTGTGAAAATTGTTCACTGAATTTCTGATACAAATTACTATTCCATATTTGATTGCTATGTTAGCTATTGGATTTAACTTTTCCATATTTTTATACATTTAAATAGCAAAGGGCTTTTAGTTGCAGACTTTTTAAAATCTTTCTTTGGCTGTTATTTTAATGTGCTTTTCCATGTCAGAAGTGTGATGCTGATCTCTATGTGAGGGTTATCAAAGATATTTCTTGTGAAACTGAGATACACATCTGCAAAAGCTTTTACATAATAAGCCATAAGCCCTAGTTGTTTTACAATAAAGTCTAACCATTGCATTATCATTTTATCTAAAATTAATATCTGTGATTTTCCCATAAATATGAATTATATACACTAAGAAATATCTTTTAGATGGTTTTTTTATGTTTGACTTGGTTTTTTTCCTTGTTCGCTTCTTTATTTTTAAAATTGAAGATGGGAAAGAAGATTGAAAATAACTGTTATTTGCTGATTGACTTACTAAAATCACTTATGACGCCTTAAACCATAGAAGAATAATATACTACCCATTAAACATGCCCAAAATTTGGAGCTCTGATGTAATGCTGACAGTTTTTAAGTCTTCTAAAACCACTTTCCAGCCACTGGTATAAGAGTATAAAAAATGGACAAGCAAAGTGTATTTAAAAAATTGAAAAGCTGTTTTTCCAAATTCTTCCATTTCTGAAACAGGCTCTTCTCATTTTATTTTACCTGTCTTCCATCTGAGACCAGAAGCACAAGTGTCAAAATAAATTAAGATAAGCCTTTCTTGCAGCATTTCTGAGTTGTAGGGAAGAGGGGAAAGCATTGGCAGTCTTGCTGGGAAGACTGTGCTTTTAAGGTTAATTGGACAGATTTTAAGAATTAGGAGTCACAGGTCTCCTTTCTGTTTAGTGTGACACCTGTGTGTTTCTACCTCCTCCAGAAGAATAATTTCTTACCTTACATGGGTTAGAGTTAATCCACCCTAACTGACGAAATAAGTCATTTTAGTGCCCAGCTGTGGAGTACGTGTTTTCGGAGTCTTTGAAAATTTTGTTTATTATTACTTAGCCATTATGAGAAGGTTCATATATTTCATCATGTCTGTCTTAACTTCATCTTTTTTTTTCTTCTTCTTTAGGGTGAACCTGGTTTGCCTGGCATAGCAGGAGAGAAGGGAGAAGCGGGGCTCAAGGTCAGTATTGACAATGGAATAAAAACAGGGGCAACAGAGTATGTGAGTGCATAGGTAGATGACAGTCACATCTTGGGTTTATATTCTGACTGGCTTTTAATGATCTGCTCCCTCCAGTGATCAGTGCTGTAAGAGGCTTTACACATCTCACCATAAAGAAGCATATTCTTCTGCTGTGCATGTGTAATTCCAGTCAGTGGCACTGACGCATAGAAATCCACTGCCAACTGAATGCTATATGCCTGCAAGTGTTTGGGAATTTGGGGACCTTTTCAGAAAGGCTTTGTTTATGCCCCTTACAATGTGTTTCAGGCTTCTTTTCAAGAGCTGCTGCGGTCAGTTCTTTGACAAATGTCAGGGTGAAGTCTGGAGGGCTGATCGTGCTATTATGGAAGTTAGCAACAAGCCTCATTGGGAGCATGTCTCAGCTTGTATTTGTTACATCAGAATGGCTCTTTGGACTTTGTTTATTGTTACGTAGTTTGTTCTGCTGTTTTAATATTGAACAAGTGAAATAGAACATAAAGCTTATGATAACTTCACTTAAAAAAAAAGACTCGGCATGTCCAAGATGATGGCTCTGTGGGCCTCTTGAAAGGGGTAGTGCTGAACTCTAATCCCATCAGCTGCGAGTGAGCGTCTCTGGTGCACATGTGCTCCTCAGCTGATTCTGTGCATCACGCTGCTGCTGACAGACATGCAAGGCAGCCTCTTTACATTTACTGACTGGCTGCCTGTCCATCAGGAATGAAAACAAACCATTTGGGAGCGTGACCTTTTCTTACTTTGTATACAGAAGAAGCCAAATTATGGCAGTTGATGCTTAATTCGTATTCACAGCTGTAGTCCCTGAGTTGCCTAGCGACTGCCAGCCATCAGAAGGGGCAAAGATGAGCTGGAGTGCAGCTCTGAGCCAGAAATGCAGAGATGAGTTGTCAGGGTCAAGCTGGTGTGCAAAAGTGCTTTTGCAGTTCCTCAAGCATGTTTTAATTTTGAAAAAAATAATGGCTATAAGCCATCTTTTTGTTACAGAGATTGTTACAGAGAATATAAGGAGCACTGAGGGCTCTTTATTCTGAAACAGTTATGAATTAGTTCAAGACACTTAACGTGTTTTCTGTCTCATGAGGAACTTTCTGAGCCATTGACAGAATCGTAAGACTTTCCCTTCGCAGTCAGACTTTTTATTTCCTTTGTTTGTTCCCAAAATGAGGAGAACCACACGTAGGAGCCACCTAGGTCCCTGCAGGCTGCTCCTCAAAGACACATGCCTGTTAGCCAGGCTCTAGGACAAAATAGAGAGAGAGAGAGGCCTTCACATGCAAACCACTGAAGCTTTTAAAAAAAAATGTTGAAATTGTATTGTCTATTGATATCTATTAAATTTATATATTTTATTGTTCAATGGACATTCTCTTTTTGTATTGTATCATCTGAGACATTGTCATCAGTAGTGCCATAATTATTAGTAATGATAGTAATAATAACATTAGTAATAACTAATGATAGTAAGGCTAACGCTTTGTCTTTTGCCTGAGTTAATAACTTATGACTTCTTTGCTCCAATTATTTTCCTCAGGGTGACCCTGGAGAAAGAGGAGAAAAGGTGAGATGGTTCACTTCCTTTGTTGTGGTTCTGTTTTGGATAACTTGCTTGGAGAATTGCCAGTGCACTGATCCCAAGCTTAAAAATAAAAAATCACAGCTACTACCTAGAATTTGAGTGGCACTGCACAGCCTTTCTGAGGGTCAGATAACACCTACTAATGGAACTTATTGATCTGTGATTACTGCAGTGGGATCAGTCACAGAGTGCAGTGATTGTGTGTTAAAGGCTGCACAGCTGAGCAATCAGACAACTAATCCTAGCTATGGTGAGACTCAGAAAATGATGAGCCTGACTGAATAAATTAGAGCTCCACACTTTTCTCATAACTTGGTTTTGATGCTCTGACACCTGTGTGGAATAAAACACTTAGGTAACAGAACGATAAAACGACATAGATTCTAAGTGATGCCTGGATAACAAGCTCTCCATGCACTAAAAATGGAATGGTCCATTTGTGCTTGGGTCAGTTTAAATAAGAGCAAGGCAGTCTGCCCCATGATCTCGTGCACATCCTCATCCTCTGCAGGTAGACTGAGCGTACGTTTAAAAAGTAAGTTGTTTGTACTGAGGTGCAATTTGCTCTTGGGAAATGTTTACCTGGGTCTTTGCAGCTACAGCTGAATTTCACTTCCAGATCTGTGTAAATCTGTGTAATAGCAGCTGGAAGCATGCTTTACCAAGGCAATTAATTTCACATTTTCAAAAGCACACCATAATAATAACTGAGTGAAATCTTGGAAGTCTGTACCCCACATGCAGAACTATGTAATCATGAAATATGCATCATGAAATAATTTCTTCTGTTAAGATGATATTTTTAAATTATTTCAGTAATCCTTAGTTTGTTTTCAGGCATAAAAGGAATAACAATGAATTTAAACATGTACTGAATTTTTGTTACTTAAAACCATTCTATCTTTCCATAATTGTCCTCTGTCTTTTTCTAAAAAGTGTAGTTACAGATCCCCTCAATGTGCTTTTTCCTGTCAAATGAACTTGGGATGACATTCCTCACTGTTACTCTTCCATGTTTCATGTATGTTTCCTTAATTAAAGTGCTGGTAGATTTTTAGCTAAATTGTTCCACTTGTACCAGTGACTGTGATGTATAAATTGCTAAGTCCTCTCTGAATGGAATTTTACATTAAGGTTTTCAGAACAGTATGACAGATACTGAATAATGTTATTTGAATAGTACTACTGGTTATCTGACCAAGGCCAGGAACGTGTTTTTAGTCTACTTAGGCTCTGTTTTTATCAATATTTTTGGCATTTTAAATACTTCTTGCACTTCACGTGAACCTCAAGTAACATAGAAATTTTTAGCCTATATTCTTAACATATAGCAATATATAACATATTTTATGTAGTCTGGACTTATTATATGGTAGCATGATGAGGTGGAAATAAGGTCTTTTTATAGATAAATATTGTGAAATTTTTATTTTAAAATTTTGTGCATTTTTTGAGTAGAAAATGTCTATGCAGCCATGAAGAGGTGTTATCTGAATGTCACATTTTTAACAAAAAGAGTGCATAGAATCTATGCAGAGATAAAGTCATTTGGTAGCTCTTTGGAGGAGTGACATTTAGTGAATTTTTTTCAGTTTGTGAATCATTCATGAAAGACTTCAGACTCAGAGAGTATATGCTATAAATTACATGAGAATCCCAGTAAAAACTACTGGAATTGTCTAACTGTCATCTGAATTTTGTTAGATGCACCTAGATGAATGTCTCTGTGTTGGGAAGAAAAATGTATTGGTAATTTAAAGTGCTGAATCATCATGAAATCATTAAATCATTCCTTCCTTGCTAAACTGCAGTGAACTGAGAAAGATGGTAGATGATGCCAGCAGGTACTTTGATACTTTGTGTGGGTATTTTTTTACAGATCTGTGAAAGGAATTGCAGCTATAGTGAAGTCTGTATAAGACACAGCCACTTCCTGACCATGTCACAGAGACTGACTGTCTGAATAACAGAATCAACTTGCATTGTTAATCATGTTGGAATGTTGACCCTTCTCTGCATACTGTGTGCTTAAAGAAAATCATTAAAATATAATTTGTATTTCAATTACAGGGGGATGCTGGTGAGAATGGAATGAAGGGTGACACAGGAGAAAAGGTAACACCACTTCTTAGCAGAGAAGAAAATGGCATGTTAGGCATGTTTATAGTGTAACCAACTAATGAAAATAATAATTTGTTCAAAAGAAAAACACTTTTTGAGCTGGGCATTTTTTAAAGGTGAGTGATTTGGTTGAGTTCATTTTTATGAACAGCAGAAAAATTTTCATTATTCTATCCAAATAAGCATAAGATTTCTTACTTTATACAGCAGTAGCTCTAGTACAGAATATATCAGCATGGTTCTAGCTAGCACTCCTCTTTGTGGAAATTTGCATCATACAGAAGCTTTGGTCACAACCTTCCAGTTGGAAATGCCCCTTTGAATTATAGCCATTTTTTCTGATTTACCCTTCAAATTTTCCCTTTCTGTGTTTCCATTGAAGAGTAGGACCGAACCAATACAGGACAAAAATTATGGTATCCTGATTGGCAACTTCCCTCCAAAATTGGAAGCTGGAAAATCAAGTTGACAATAAACACACTTTAAATCTTTATTCCAAGTGACATCAAAAATAACCTCACTTTATACCTTCTTAGTTCATTGTTGCAAAGTATCAAGATGTTGTAGAAATCACCAAAAACCAGATTTTGTCAAAATTTTTATTTTCCTGAGTTTTCTTTTATGTGAGACATGCTCAGAAAATTGAACTGGTGTTCTCAGTGTAGTTTCTTTAAACAAGCCAGTCTCTAGCAGTCAGGGTAAAGGCTGTGTTGCACATGTGAAAGGGTCAGACATATTGATCTCTTCTGGCCATCATTTTTGAACTCATAGGCTTCTAAAATCATTTCTTTTAGTGACTACGCTTGAGCAGAAGCATAAGCACTTTTTCTTGTACCCTGCATGTGTAATGCTTAACCAACTTATAATATTTCAGTGCAAGGAGAAGTTTTTAATGGATTTATCAAGCTGGTAAGGAATGCATGGAAATCCTTCAGGAGCTATTATTTGGGTACAGTAAATCTGTACTTTGAAGAGCACAAGGATTTTAAGGCATATTCTAAAATCAGCAATTAAAAATAGACATTAGATTTAATAGTCAAGTTACTTGATTTTTGAAGTTATTTTAAATAATACTTCATTTGCAGTGATGCTTATTATCATAGATGAAAATCTTAAGAACCTTATTTGCTTACTTACATGATGTATGCTGGTAACATAATCTTGATCCGCTCTTATGTGATTTGAGAATATAATCCACTACGAGTATGAATTGAGATTGTTGTTCAGATAGATAGTTCTCCAACAAGTAAATGGTAAGTTTATAATCTCTCTGGGAAGCCTAGTACAGCTTTACCTGTTGCTTTTCTACTTCATTAGCCTCGAGGGTGAGCTTGTATCCACGAGAATGCCCATATTGCCCTGCAATCAGTTGAGTCCTGACATTAGCCATCCACAAAATTAGGTCAAATGCTCGCTCATATCCTTTGTAAATAACAGTGAATTATTTTTAATGTAGATCAGCAATTTAGAGATGTCAAAGTGTGTCCCATATTCTGGCTGTGTGAAGTACATTTATATAGCATCTGCATTTTATTATTTATTTATTTATTATTATTTATTTATTATTAGTTGTGAAATTTGAGGTTAACTGTAATAGATGTTTGGGTGAGTGAAGTTTAATCTCTCTCTACATGGTCTTGAAAGCAATACTGTTCCTTTTCCAAATCACATGGATGTAATTAATTAGTTAAATGCTTACATAGCAGCACAAAAAACAGGCAGTCTTGCTATGCAGTTATTTTGCTATATGATGTTGCTATACTCTTACATGATTTATGTGTTTCCTGCAAGATTGTTTATGTAGTAAGAGTGATTATTTCTTGTGGATTTTGTATCAGGGTGACCCTGGCTCTTCTGCGGCTGGAATTAAGGTAATGGAGTTCTAAAGAATTTGTGCAGGGAGAAGAGGGGTGGTTGCTCCATGTTGCTTTAGGGTGTCACAGACATTTTGGGTATCATCAATGGTTTTCCACAGCTCCATCTTTAATTTATTTTCTCAGATATCGTGTTTTTCATGTATTTTCTTTTAGGGTGAACCTGGTGAATCCGGACGGCCTGGGCAAAAGGTACTACTTGGAAGTGTTCAGTTTTCCCTTTCTGCTGGATTTGGGATAAATGATGTTACATCCATGTCACCAGTGGCACTTACCTGTACTGGGATGAGTCTGTGGCAATACAGATTAGCGTCCCAAGGCTGTACACATTTGGTCCATGTTTATTTTGTATGTTAAAAAGGCACAGGAATGATGATACTAATTAACATGAAAAGCAATTTTGACTAACCCACCTTCCCTTCTAGCCACAGCACACTTCTTGCATCGAAAGCTTACCCCGTTGCCACTGGTGAGACTAACAAAGAATGGCTCTGCTCCCTGGGTGATCACAAGCTAACCCTGCATGTTTGGGTATTAATCTTCAATCTGTGGTACACTGTTAGATCTCATCAGGAAGAAAATAAATACTGGTTAGAATCCCATTCACAAGTGCCTGTGATGGGAATCAAACCATCAGTGGCACACAGTGTGTTTGGAAGGACACAGACCAGGTAATGCTGCTCTGTTCCTCCTTCCAGCTTCAGAAATCCCCCTGGGTGCTGTGTGGCTGAGGCTGCTTCTGCAAGGACAGGTCCTGCAGGAGTTACAATAACTGTACTGCACGAAGCCCTGTGGAGCTGGGGAGTGTGTTCTTTGAATCCACAGTACTTCAAACACAGCCAGTACTGTGCCCTCAGCTCCCTTTTGTCAGAGCAGGGGGCAGGTCCTGCAGGGAGAACAGAGACAATGAGAGAACTGGATTTGTGCATTGCAGTATTTGGTTTCCCTCTGGAGCCATTGGCACTGTTCTTGCCTCTTACAACACTGAAAATTTTCCACTGCGCACTGCTGCCAAACAGAGTCCTTCTGCCAGTTGAGATACTCCAGACAGACAGCCAAGAGCTAAAATTCTAGTAGATGGCAAGACAACCATTTTCTAATACTCAAGGTATTTTGGTGACTAAGCAAAACCCCAAACCACATATAAATAAGAATTTAAGTATTTTTATTTAAGAAATTACAACTCTCATCAGTAACTAAATAAGACTATTATGGTTGCAAATGCAGTTCTTTAGTAAATGCAGTTTGTATTAGGAAAGGTAATCAAAGTAGTTTAAAGCTATCTAATCCACAGAATCATTCAGTGTGTGCATTCTGCAGCGTATGCTTTGCTTGGGTAATAAACTAGAAAATGCAGTTAAGCACCTATGGAGATTCAGACTCTCGTTAAGTGGCTGCCATGGAGGCAAAACTAGCAGTGATTTATCAGCAGGCTCCTGGTTCAGTCCCAGGCACTCAGATTTGATCTAATTCAAACAACATGGATGAGTGAGAAGTATGCACTTCAGAATTTCTATATCCTCACCTTCTTTTTCACACCGAAGGAGAGCTTAGTGTCTTCCTTCCATTCACCTCATGATTTCACTCGTCTTCCAGCCCCAAACATCAGCTCCCATAATCCCTGGCCAGTCAGCATGTCTCCTCCAGCCAGGTGCCCCATGTCTGCACCCCTGCATCCCTGCTTAGCAGGGACTTTTTCACCCCACCAGAGGTTGTGGGAGGCTCTTTCTCCAGTTGGAGTCACATCTCTGCCATCTACATCATCTCAGCGCTTTTCCCCCTCTCTGTGTCCCATTCGTGTTTCCTTCCTGTTTCCTTTCTTATATTTTCCTTTTTCATCGTCTTCTAGTCATCCCTTATCCATCTTCTGAGAGCAAATATGTGTTGAGCTGCCCACCCAAATATTATTTACATGAAGTGAAACATGACAATATTTCAGCAGTCTGACAAGGCTGTTGTGGGCCACATTGTGTGCTGAGGGGGCAGAATGACCTGCTCTGCCATTATGTAATAGAGTTAGTGTAAAGCCTTGGCTTCCTTAGAAGTCATTCTTCTCATAAGTCATACTTGGAATTTTTATATTAGAAAAGGTCCAATAAAGAAAATACCACTCTACATTCATCTACAATGCTAGTTGTAATTAAGAAATAAGGATTGATTTCCTTGTGTTTCATATTGATGTATCTTTTACGGGTATTTGAATTGTTTTAGATTTCTGTGACTCTGAACTGGCTCTGGTGGATCCTTTCTCTTTACTATGTGTGAGTGTGTGAGGGTTAGCTCTGTCCCAAGACTGAAGAGTAACCTACTGCAGCAACTCTAATATAATATCAATTATAAATATTCCAATTCTGTGCTTACAGATGAAATTGAGTGCTTCCACAATTAGGTGGGAAAAGTTGATGGTTTTAGTGCTGTATGCATGGCTGCTCATGCAAAAAGTGGAAAGACAGAGTAGGAGTTTGGAGTTCACGTTTTGTTAGTGCAGTGGAGCGTTATCCTTTTGCAAGAGTAGTAACCCATTTTCGGCTTTAGAAGGTGATAGTCAACATACCAAAAAGTGTCTGTTGAAAATGGCATCCTAGCCTCTATTCTTTCTCCTGATTTTATAGTTAATGTTTTGAGACTGGAATCTTTCCTGTGCTTTGAGGCAATTTGGACAGTTAGAACTTTGGAGAAGCTAAAACAGACAAAGAAGCTGTTATCAGATCCTTCTATACCATTGAAAAATCACTCCATTTGGTAAAGTGATTTGCAGGCCCTCTATTGTGTTTTTCATTTTGTGGCAGAGTGTAATCTTGTTATGAGTGTTTCAAGTCTATTTAATATCTGTGTCTCAAAGAAGTGTCTCTGGGTAGTGCAGTCTGATGAACAGCTGTATTATGTGTAGGTGTGTTTGTGTTTGTGTGTGTACACACGTGTGTACGTGAGTGTAGGGATGTACATAAGCGTGTGTGTACACACAGGCACATAAAATATTTTAATAGCACAGCCTGTAGGTATCAGCCCAAACCGCAGAGTTGAAGTCTGGATTTCTGTAAAGCTCATGAGTGTAAAAAATCTGGAATATAGCTCAATTCATTATAAAGGTAAAGTTGGCTTCAGAGTTCAAACCTGAGCTTCCAGAAAGTTCAGGGAATATTCAGATCCAAGGTGCTGGTTGGAATCCATCTCTGTATTAAAATAAAATCCCCAGCCTTTAAAATAATGTTTTATTCACATGTTATTGCTCCTTTTTTTTTTTTCTGTTCATCATCTTTATTTCCCTAGACAACATCTTTCCATTTAGCTGATATCTCAAAATGACCATTTGTGAGAATGTTGTCATTCTTGTCTTAGACTAATTCCAAAATTAATGCATTCAGTTTTCAATACTTGTTTCAAAATTACCTTGCAAATAGAGTTCTATAGGTCTTTCCATTGCAATTTTAAATAAGCAAGGTTTTTCTGGGTAAAGCAGTAAAAGGTTACATTCCCACTATCCTTCATGTCACAATGTATATTCACAGATAAAGAACCAGCTCTGAAATGATGCTGTGGATAGCTCTATAAAACTGATGGCCCAGTTATAATTAGGCAGTCCTGCTTGAATTGTGCAATTTAAACCAAGCTCTTCTGAATTGCTTTGTAGCTAAATCAGACAGTCTCAGAGCACAGAATCTAGCTCAGAGTTGGAAATGGAACAGAATTAAACATCTGTCATAAGTATGGAACTTAAATGGCAATGTGTAAAATGAACCAGTGCTGCTTGTTTTCTTCTCTTTTGCTGAAGGCTAATGTGAGTTCATATTTGGCTTTCCTGACATGGATTTTCAGCCTGTGTATCATCTTCACATTGAAGGTTCCCAGAATATATCCAAGTTCTTAATATGTTTCTTACTAATTGTACATTTAAGTCACTCATTTTGAAAAAAAACAATCCTACTGGAGCTGACTAGCAATCATTCATGCTCTTTTATCTTGCTGCAGAATTTACAGGGCTGTTCAATGGACAGTGACCATAACTGGATAATGTCTGTAATATTATGTAATTTTCCTGTGTAGGGTGAACCAGGCCTTCCTGGGCTTCCTGGACTCCCTGGAATAAAGGTAAATAAACTGTAGTACCTGTTGGACTGGGTGGGACCACAGAGAGGGGGGAAAATACAAGAATATAGCTCAAATGGACTTAATGTACTTGTGTTACATCTTTTTCTGTGTCTCTGATATTAAACTGGGTTTGAGAAAAAGTTATCTTGGTTAAGTGTCTGTGAGTAGGCAAAGAGTGTATCTTACATTCAAATGTGAGGCAGAACATTCCAGTTATTTCTTTTAAAAATCTAAAGTAGTAGAGGTTTTTAGATTTCTTTTCTTTAATGGAAAAGTCTTGTCATCAAAGTTTTACTTGGTTTCCACTTCGATGGGTGCTTTCCAGTAGCAATATTCTACTGAATTAACCAAGCTTCCAGCAAGAGAACTGTATTAATTATACACAGGCAGTGGAGACCTGGCTCTGTTGACAAAAATACTTTGTGCTCCATTACACAGCAGTGCTTTCCACTGACAAGTCAAAATATTTTGATAATATCCTGTTCAGTATTAGCTGCAGTCTGACACAATTGTCTACAATTAGCTACTTTGTCTGACACAATACCTGGTTTGGTCCCAGGCTTCCAGTTTGTCTGGAATCTTTAGGTAAGTTGATACAAAACACGCATAGTTGGTTTAGTTCTAGCTTAAGTGATTGCGTTGGGAGCTGCAGAGGCTTGCACAGTTTGAGCTGTAACTGTGTCATTCTGCACGGAGTGAGCAGATTCACATATCCTGAGTGAGCACAGAGCAGAATGGCCACTTTTCCTTTGTGTCAAAGACTGTCCTTTCAGAAAACAAAATACCTTTGGAACTTTTTCTTTGCATTCCAGCATGGGCCTGTGTATGTCTCAAGGAGAAAGTTCGTAGGATTTCCCCCATAACAAGGAGGATAAGTCAGAGACCAAACTCTTGTTCATTGTGGTAGGATTCAGGATTTATCTCATGGAATGTAGCGTTTGCAGTGATTTTCTCAAGGGACCTGTGAATTGCCACAGTATTGAAGCATAATGTCCCTTCTGTGTTACTAGTGAATTATGGGAAAAAAATCGAATGTGTGTATTAAATTTTGTGTGTTGTAAAAGCTTAAAATATAGTTCCCATGGAGGTTGTTCATTTTCTGCAAGAATAAACGCTATACTGAGTAGTGAAGATCATGCAGGAGAGGAGTCTTGTGGCCCTCTGGCAGCAATCCCTATTCTGTTTACTTTAACAGTGAGCGAAGAGGTAGCTCAGTTGAAGGTCAGTGGGGCACTTGCCTGAGGCACTCATCCCAGAGATACTTGCCAGAGGCAACCAGAGCTGTGGCTGGTCTTTGGGGTTTCCATGTTCATGCAGACCACATGTCCATGCATATAACCAGTAAATAAAAAAAAGTCTACATCTGAGTGGCTGCTGTGGGAAAATCATTTGTTGGCAATAAGAACGGCTCAGCTTCCAGAATCACCCGAAAGACGAAATGTGAAGTGAAAAACGGATGAAGTGTGGGAGTTTTGCCCAGTGAAAATTTCTTTCCAAATTCAGCGGTTACAGTGGAAAAACAGCGCGGTTGCCTGCAGAGCAAAACGGAATAATTCGGTCAAATATTAATCATTTAGGAAAAGACTTTCTCCTGTTTAAAATCCAGTCCAGAGGGAGACTGGTGGTGTTTCAGTGAAGAAATTTCATCTAGTACAATTCTGCATTGAAGTGGCTACCTGCAACCTGGATGGTGACAGGGAAGCAGAAGGTGCACAGGACAGAGCGAAGTGTATTTCGTAACATCAGACTTGCAGGATGGTTGCTGTTCATTTCAAGGCACTTTTAAGCTCTGATTTATTAAGCAGTCTGTAGGAAAAAACACTGGATTCTTCTGAGTCACTGAGGCTATGTCTGTGGCATGAGGAGTGGTAGCAGAAACCAGAGAACAGCTGGGGTTAGGAATATGGGCACTCATCAGCAAAGGAAAAGTAGTAGTTTTCCCCCTTTTTTCACCCTCCCTTTTAGAAAAGATTTATATACCACCATGGTAAGATCACTATGTTGATTTCCAAAAACAACATCAGTGTTATCTCATAGAGAAACAAATTTCCAGTGATCTGGTGTTGATCAAAAGCTACTTTGAAATAGCAGTGACAGGATGAGAAACTTCAACGTGGAGGAAACTCAATTGTCTGGACTTGGAATCAGTTAGTGCTGGCATCTTGTACAAAACCAAGAGGAATCTTACTTGGAGCAGCAACTCCCTTCCCTCCTTCCCTCCTTTCCTCCCTCCTTCCCTCCCTCCTTCCCTCCCTCCCTCCCCCTCCCCTCTTTCTCTCCCCTTCTCTCTCTTTCTCTCTTCCTGGCTTCCTCCCTTTCCTTTCTTTCTTGAATGATGCTTGTTGTTTATTACAATTTTTTTCTGGTATTCTGGGTTCTGTTCTCTTGTGGACTTCATAAAACTTTCCAAGATAACATCTTTGCTATTCTGTCTTAATAGTGATATACAGTAGTGGTGTAGCAAAAAGATGTGGCAGAAACCTCTCACAATGTCATTGCAACATCTAAGATCTTGTTACAAAATGTAACTTTCCATAAGGAAAATTTTTCCTAACAAACAGGTTATACTCTTCTCGTGCATTTGTGTGCCGGCCCAGTAGCTGTTGGCAGGGATTTTTCAGGCTTTTTCCAAACTTTGTGAGAGATAAGGGAAAGATCAAGATACAGGTTTATTCTACACATTGAAAATTCCTGGATGTAGTTCTTAAATGTTAAATATTAAATCCCCTTTTCCTTAAATCTGTTAGTTGAACTTAAAATTGCTTCCTTGTGAAGTGGCAGGCTGTATTATGAAATGTTTTAGGTAGCTGTGCACATGCACAGCAGTCTTCACAAAAGGTAAACCAACCTGTGTAAACACAAGTGCCAGGCATTGGACCAGATCTCTCCAGCTACAACTCATCTTTCTTCCCATGGTTGAACAGGCTTCAACATACGTAAAGGATTAATGAATACTTACACTGAGAAACTTTCAGCTTCTTCTAATGCCATTTCAAATTAATTAATCAATGTTCCTTGGAACCTGTAAGGATTTGGCTGAATGTGATACTGCAATCTGAATGAGTGGCAACATTGGACAGACACGCAAGTATCATATCTGAATTCAGGGTATGCAGCAAGGTTTCTTATTACTAACTTTTCTAGACCGATTCACTTTGCACATGCGCATGTTTTGGGAGATCTTCCTGTTCCTTTTCGTTCTCCCCTTTGTCAGTTGGTGCCATGGAGGAAAGACAAGCACAGTCAGTTATTTCCAAGACAGTGAAGAAGCCGTCTGTGACATACTGGAGAAAAGTTTCTCAAGCACCTGTTGCTGTTTTGGAATGGCTGGAAACTTAATGAGCCCTGAATGTGTTCCACCTAAACTCAGAATATTAACTCATCGCTCTACTATCCTGACACAGAAGCCTGTCTGTGAAACACAAACTTCATGTGTCTGTTTTACCTAATAACTTTTGCAGGAAGATACCTACAAAGCAGCACTTGCTTCCTGTAATGGAAAATCACGCATGCCCTCGTTCACTGTAATGTCAGACATCTCTCAAAACTGTTGTGCTCCATTTTCTGGAATTTGGCCTGTACAGTCCTCAATTTCTTCACTGCAGTGAGAAGCCTTCACAAAACACAAGCCTCTTCTCAGTAACAGCACTTTTTGCAGGATCTGGATTTGCTGTGGTATTTCTGGCATTTGTCCCTCAGTTTTTAAAACAAATACTGAACCGAAGCTTACGAGCACATATAAATTTTTATTTTATCATCTTCAAGAAAACTGAACCATTGAGTGGTGTGACATGAGAAGAGAAAGGCTGCTTAGCCCTTCTGCTTTTGGGAAGTATGGAAAGCTTTCTGTGTTTTAAAATTCAGTGGAAGTGGCTGATTCAATAGACTTATTGAATGCAGTATCTTGCATCTTTCTATACAGTTACTTTGGACTGACTTCCCTGGGACCACACCTGAGCAAGGGTTCAGAAAAACCTGGATAAGGATATGGGAATTTGAGTCAATTTTATATCCTTTTATTTTTGTTTTTATGAAAACAAAAGTGGTTCTGATTTTTTTCTTTTTTTTTTTTTTTTTTTTTAAGTTCTAGAAGAACATGATAATACTTTCAACCAGTTAGTTCTGTTAGAAAAG